GGATTAAGTACGCCAAGTTTGAGATGAAGATGGGGGAGGTTGCCAAGGCGAGGGCGGTGTATGAGAGAGCGGTGGACCTGTTGTCGGAAGATGAGGAGGCCGAGGTGCTCTTTGTGGCGTTTGCGGAGTTCGAGGAGAGGAACAAGGAGACGGAGAGGGCGAGGTGCATTTACAAGTACGCGCTGGATCATATACCGAAGGGGAGGGCGGAGGATTTGTATAGGAAGTTTGTGGCTTTTGAGAAGCAGTTTGGGGATAGGGAGGGGATAGAGGATGCAATTGTGGGGAAGAGGAGGTTTCAGTACGAGGAAGAGGTGAGGAAGAACCCCTTGAGCTATGATACGTGGTTCGATTATATAAGGTTGGAGGAGAGTGTGGGGAGAAAAGAGATGATTAGGGAGGTTTATGAGAGGGCTGTAGGGTATGTGCCGCCAGCTGAGGAGAAGAGATACTGGCAGCGGTACATTTATTTGTGGTAAGTGGTGATTTCCCTGAAAGCTTTTACTCCCCTAGCACTTGTGTGTTATGAATACTCATTTGTTCAGTTATTGCATACTTTAGGATCAATTATGCACTTTATGAGGAACTTGATGCGAAAGATATGGAGCGGACAAGAGAAGTTTACATGTAAGGATTCTTATCTTGATATTATAACTTCATTTCAAAATTTTAAGAAGAAATGCTTATGGTATATCATATGGTTTCTTTAAGTAATATTGCTGAGAACTGAGTCACAATACTGTCATATAGAAATCATTGTTTGCTTATTCAGATATTGTCAAGCAAACAACTTTTATCTTTTATCTTGTTCCTTGACCTTCAGCTTACTTATACTTCTTGTATGAAATGAAAATCGAAGTTCACGCCATGACATCAGCATTACTCATAAGAATTACATATTGGCCATTTCTTAGTAGAAATTAAGAATGTTTTGCTAAACCGTAATGATTAGAAAGGATGAAAAGAAGTAATATGTGTTTGATTTTGCATTTAGTTACTTAGCGGGTCATGGGGATTTGTTAACAGGTATATGTAACGTGTTATTCTACTTGTGACGCCTTAGTTGGTTTCAATTGGCTAAAGAAATCATAAAAACACTAGTCTTAGAGACAATTAATAGACAGAGAAACAGAAAAATGGCTTAACAATAAATATTGCTAGGTGATTTGAATATTTATCATGATTCATGACGTATAAGAAAAATTTTATTCTGATACATGTGATTAAATTCCGATTAGATATTCAAAGAATGTTAAAATGTTCTAGTCAGAAAGCGGATAGGGAGGCTTGAAAATTGATCTTTTTTAATTAAAGCTAAAATGTGTAATTTATATTTGAAACCCTAAGCAGGTGTGAAAGAATTATTTAGGAACGTTGAGAAAATGAAATCAATTTCAAATTTCAGCTAGATGATGCATCAAGCTTGATGCGAGTGTAAAAGTGACCTGAATTGGCGAAAAAAATTCAAGGTGATAGGTGACTGTTTGTAGCCTTTTTGTAACACCTGAAGTTTGTCCATATTCGTCCTGTTAGTCCTGGAAGAATACTTCACTGTCCTGTACCCTTGAAGATGCTGTCTCTATTTTACAGAGAAGAGGATGTGGTCGCCTAAGTTAAAACTTCTTATTTTTTCACTTTTCTTGTCCTTTCTTTTCTCACTTGCGTCTATAGCTAGATCAAAGTTCAAACAGAATAAATCCTAGGCATACGACTACAATGAAGTATATGCATGAGAGCTGCTCAAGCCAAATTTCTTCTCCACAACTAGAAACTAGGATTGAAAAAGCAGAGTTCATCAAACCCATTTTCCCCATTCTCCTTTCGTTCCTGTGTATCCTGGAATTGTCAAAATACTAGAATTTATTTTTAAAAATTAATATTAGTGTGTAGTATTTGTCCTCAATTAAGTAGATGCCTATGATATTTAATGCTTAATTAAGATGAAGGGGAAGGCGACTGAGAGTGGATAGTACTTTAGATGAATCCCCTGAATTTTCCAGCTCCAATCTCTCAGTGAAGAAAATATTCAACTCATAAGAAGCAGAAAATCAACAATTACTTTGTCCATTCCTATTGATGCTACTGAAGGAATAGTAACTGTGTAATATATTCAACTTCTAAGACTTCAAATTAGAACAGGGCTTAATATCAGTAAACTGCAAGTTTTAAGTTAATGCCAATGGGTTTGAAAAGGCTTAGTCACATATTTGTTTGTCTAGCTACAAGGATATGGATAAGGATATCAGATAACAATACAAAATGATATATATGAATATGTAAAGTCCAAATATGATGATTAAATAATATTTTGTGCATATTGTGAAAAAGTATAATCTAATTATGAACTCTGTGAAATGTATTGTACATCCATAAAATAAATTCATAAAATAATGCAAAACTAATTTATAAACATAATATTATCCCTTTTAGTGATCAAACAACACCCCAAATGGATACGACGTTGAAAACACCATTTGAAGACTTGATATGGACCGAATCAGTAGGGCAATATAATTGATAAATATAATTGGATCATATCAGATGCACATCCAATATGGTTACGCATAGTGAATAACTGGTGCGTTATATTGTTGGTAAAGGGCAACATGTTAGAGAAATGAGGATCAATATCTAGTTGTTGTAATTTCATGTAAACACAATTTGGAAAGACTTATGTCAAGTGCTGATTTGTTTGTCATTTCAACTTGATTGTTTTATCCAAGTAACCCAGAATGTTTCAAAGTTAGAAGATGGGAGTAAAGAGGAAAAACACAAGTTAATCCTTGATTAATCAGGTAACTAGATCTGATATCTAAATGATCCAATCACAATAGCTAAAATGCGACAACTATATGGCAAAAAAGCTTCTTCATTGCAAACATACAGGGTGTGTCATGTTTTATGATTTTTAGGAGGCTTTAAATACGGATTTAGGCATTTAGCCAAAATCAGGTAAAGGTTGACAGTTTACGATTTCTATAAGCTAGTCGTGGTTGGGTTAAGTGGATGTAGGATTTGACTGGTTTCAGAAATAGGTGTTAGTCGAAGAGAGAATGGTCTCACAAGCAAAATAGAGAGGATGTTATTTGAAGACATAGTTGGGAAAGACTAATTGAACTACGTGGTTTACTAAGAACCACACTATTTGTTAATTGAGATTCCTGTAACATTTTAGACATTACTAAAATGAAATTTAAGTAGACTCAACTCAAGATGCATAAGAACTATTCTTTTTTAAAGAAAAGTTTCTTGTGATGTTGGCTTCCAGTAAGTATGGACAATGAGCATAGACATCAAGCACAGACACTCGGGACATTTTTGGTCCTCAAAAGAATGTTGTACGATGACACGTTTATGAAAACATGTATGACATCTTTAAGCACCATCAGTAGTATTATTTTTTATAATCTTACTTAGTATGCTTAATGATGACTTATTTTATTGTTCATACCATCCTCTTGTGCAACTGTATTGTGACATCTTTAAGCACCATGAGTAGTATGATATTTGATAGTCTTACTCTGTTGCCCAGTATGCTTAATGATGACTTATTTTACTGTTCATACTTCTATATAACTATTTACAGACATGTCTGCTCTTCATCCTCTTTGTGTAACTGTAAAATAAGATTATATAATTTATTTATGTATTGGAACATATTCCATTTTTATACAAGCAATAATTATGATATTTATACTTTTAAATATACAATGAAATGTAAATTATATCTGACTGTGTTAATTACTGATCGTATAAGATTCTGTGAAATGTTGAAACTTTATATGTGAATTGTCAAGAAATATCAGGGAAAACTCAAATTGTTTTTTTCTTTTGAGAATTGACCTTAGTATGCTGCTTTGAGCACCTTCCTATTCTTTTAAGGGAATGAACTTTCTTCCAGCTAGAATTTTCACAGATAAACCTAACTTTAGACTTTGTTGATTTACTAGCTCATATTTAGGCAATATATGGTGCCAAATCAAAGCAATAAAGTCTCTTAGTGATTGAATATCTGCTGTTCTTATTGCATTGCCAGTTATATATTGTTGGAAAAACAATGCATTTTCAACATCATGCAATTCCAATTATTTTCAATATTGTTTGGATAGTTTGCTTCTCTAAATACGTCAAATAATCTATTACTTAGATGCCAACTTTCTTCAAAATTTTTAAATATGAGATCCTTGCCAACACAGATACCATTAATTGAAAGAAACTATGAGAAGGTAGTATTGAGATTCATATTTAATAGTGTGGATGTTTATAGCACAATTTGCAAGGTAAAGTTGGAGCTGAGCTCATTGCATAATTCCAATTACAGCATTGGATACAAAAATGCTGTTTCAATAACACACAATCAAACACAGCCTAAACCTCAGTAGAAAGGAAAAAAATGCTTTAGGTGGATATTTTAGGAATAGAAAAATTCTGAGTCTGAAGAGATTGTTCCACAAATTTTGAGATCCTACAGGCATAGGCATATGATTATTGGAAAATGTGAAACCTAAGGTGGACACTGTACATGGAGAGAACTGAATTTCGGGAAGCAGAAAGCATGATTTTGTGTAGTGTACAGGAAGCAGAGAAATTGAGGTGAAGCCTATTTGAAATTTTGAATATAAGGGGAAATGCTTTGGACGTTGTTCTGACTCTTAGGGGAAACACATTAAAGACACTGGACAAACCAGTTTAACAACCCTGATGATGTACAGGAAACCCTGGGAAAAACATATAATTTACTGTTTGAAACTCGTTTGCTTTCCAATTGTTAGCCAATGCATAAATATGTATATTTTTAATTTTAAATTCTTCTCTTTGTTCAATTTTCTTATGGAAGGTTTTCATTTCCAGTGCTTTTTAATGATTCTCATTTACTTTTTAATTAATCAGGCCTCCTATGAGGTTCTTCTTTTATTCCTAAGGTATCTTTGTTATGTTTGCATTTGCACATGCCCAAAATTTTGCAGTACTTTTTTCGCTTTTACTTCTCTTTACTGCTTCCTGCTTCTACTTTCGAAAGTGGCATACACGGTGTAGAAATTAGAGGTACCCATGGATGGTAAAGTTTGTTAATTGTTACATGTATGCTATGTTAGAAGATCACGCGGGAGAATCCATCTTGAAGGTGACTGATTTACCTGTGAAATTCAAGAAATATAGGCTATACTTTTTGAAAAAGTGGAATAAGTGTTCAAAACATTATAATGATACACCTGTATGGAGGTGTAGCTGGCATTAACGTATGGTAATTAGTGTATCTAAAGATGGCCCTGTTATAAGATTGATTTCTTCTTTGTGTTGATTTTAAGTTGGTCCGCTATAGCTCGTAGTCGTGTTATTGATAGGGTGGAAAATAATTAAATTTATTTTTTGTGTGCAGTTATTTTCTTTTCTCAGTCTGTCCCTTCTATATGAATATGGTGCTCCTCATTTGTATTATGTTATATTTGTGTATTTAAAGATGATCCTTAAATGATAGACTTCTTCTTTGTGTTGATTTTAAGTTGTTCCACTACAGCTTGGGTCGACTTCTCCTAATCGTGTTATTGATATAAGGGTAAACAATTTAATTTATTTTGTGTATTCAGTTATTTTCTTTTCTTAGTCTGTCTCTTCTATATGAATATGGTTCTCCTCATTTGTATTATGTTATATTTGTTTATCACATGCCACATATTATCTGCCTATTAATCTGGATGATGATAAAAGGAGTATTCATTATTTCCTCTATTAATAAGTATCTGAATCTACTCATTCAACCGAATAATTGTTTCCTTATTTTGTTGTGTTTCTTTGCCAGGGCATGCCTTAACTTGATTCCTCACAAGAAATTCTCTTTTGCAAAGATATGGCTCATGGCAGCTCAATTCGAGTTAAGGCAAAAAAATCTCAAGGATGCACGCCTAGTCCTGGGCAATGCAATTGGGAAGGCTCCAAAAGATAAGGTGTCCAACAGTTTTTTTCCTTTTCGGTATTATGTTATCTGAAATAACTGGTTCCATGTCTTCGAGCACACTACTAGATTTCTTACATGACTTCCATAAATTACAGATATTTAAGAAGTACATAGAAATTGAACTCCAGATGGGTCAAATCGATCGTTGCAGAACCCTATACGAGAAGTATCTCGAGTGGGCTCCTGCAAATTGCTATGCTTGGAGCAAATATGCTGAGCTGGAGAGATCATTAAATGAAACTGATCGGGCTCGAGCAATATTTGAGCTTGCTATTGCTCAGCCCGCACTCGACATGCCAGAGGTGTTGTGGAAGGTATGCAGTTTTCTCGATATATCCCATTTATTGTGTTAACAAATTTGATGGTATCATGAATTGGTTTCAAGTTCAGTCTGAATTCACAACAATCGTTACCAGTTCAAAACTGCTGTGTTAGTTTACCCAAATGCTAAGATAGTTCGAGTAACTACTTATTGTGAAACTTTTCAAGTTCCTTTGTAGTCTACATATTTTAGCAAAGTAAAATCTGGTCTTCCATGGTTTATAGGAGAGGCACAGGGAAGAACCTAATGTACCATATGAAAGAAAGGGAACCATTCCTTCAAATAGTTTCGATGAATTCTTTTATGCAACCACTNGGGGGGGGGGGGGGTTATTCATAGGGGTACTTTGGGGAAAATTGGGTTAATTGTCCCAATGGGATAATTTTACCTATTGTGATAATTTGAGTGGGATAAATTAAGGATAAAGTGAGGTAAAATGGGATAATGAGACAATTTGAGTGGGACAATTGATATGATATCTTTTTATAATATGATATTTATAGATCAATTAAGTTCAAGTTTAACTCGCTATTACATCAAATCATGAATAAATGATAATATATATTAATATTATTTTTATGATTATTTTAATATAAAATATTAATAATAATATTAATAATATTAATATATTAATATTATTTTTATGATTATTTTAATATAAAATATTAATAATAATATTAATAATATTAATGATAATATTAATCAATCTTTGAATATTTTGATGTTTATTTTAACTATTATGCTATATTAACAAAATTTTTAATTGCAATAAATATTTAATCATTCCTGTATTTATTACAATGATGATGATAAAGTCACAATTATTACAAATAAAGTCTTAGTCATTAACTTAAATCTTAATTATTATAAATATAATCTATCGGCATATAACTTTGCTCTAGACTCCTTGGGCTACATTTGTCCCATCCTCCCACATTGTGTTTGCCATTTGTTCTCTCCAATGTGATACAACTGTCCGTTGTGCTTGTTGAGTCTGTAGGTCATCGTCCTCATCAGAATCACCACCAATCAGAGCAACATTGCATGGCGCCTCTAGAGGAAGATCGAAAACTTTAACGTCATCGTTAGAGTTCTCTATATTTAAAAAATTATGCAGACTGATACATACCTAGATCATACTTTTTTGAGTCTCATATGGAAAACCTGGATGTTGAGACATAAAAATAGTAAACCTAGACTTAAAAACGCTAAAGATACGTTTAATACAATTTCTAAGAGATGTATGTCGATGGTTGAATAACTCATGAGTATTGCGTGGTCGCTGACGGTTGTTAGTTGGGCCAAACTCTTTAAGGTGGTACCTGGTACCCTGATATGGAGCCAAGAATTGTAGCCTATTTGGGTAACCATAATCAACTAGATAAAATTTACCTGCATTAATATTTCTTTGGAATTATAATCAATAAATATAAAATCTAACAATTTGATAAAAAATATTTACCATTTGGGAGTGAAAGATTGCATGCACTTCTACTCATTGCATCCTTCAAGACCCGTGAATCTTTGGCAGATCCCTCCCATCCTACTAAGACATAAATAAACCTAAGATCAAATATGCATGCCGTAAGGATATTAAGAAAGATAGCCATGTCTATTACAATATGGGGTTTGGTCCTCGCCATACACCATACATGGAATGTGGGTTTCGTCAATAGCACCGATACAGTTCTATATATTCCATTAACATATATGAAATGTGACTTTAAAATTATAACAATAATGAATGAAGACTTATATAGTATATTTAAATTTCAATACATTGAAATAAGGCCAAAAACGAGATTCGGATGTGACCTATTTGATGGATCGGTAGGAGCCATCATACAAGGGGTTAATGACACAAGGGCTTGGAGTGCCTTATTGAAACAGACGCTGACTGCAAATTGGGATCGATCAAATATCTCAGTGTGATGCAATATCATTGATTTTGAGTAACAATGAAAATGATAGTAGCAACCATCTCCTCAACGCTGATATACCGTATATCTTGTAAATGCCCACGTTCTCGCAAGACCATACAATTTCTTGAAGCAATCTAGATACATACGATATACTTGACGAAAATCACGTGGATTGCTCTCCATCTTAGATTTCAAGTATTGAAGGCCAAGGTCCGTAATGCCATGTCTGAGTTGGGAGATGTGTAGATTTAACTCTTCTTGTGATATGAGGTGCGAGATACTCGTAATTAGACCTCCTATTTGTGCAACCATGTTGATTATGCGAATGAGGAGATAATCAACAGTATCCTCATGAAATAGCAAAATAGAGACATTCTGATTATCTTCCATCTTGCATTAATCATGAAATCAAAACATAGTTAGATTTTCACTGCAAGAACCAATAGTTAGATTTAAATTCAATTTGGCAATAGTACAAGGCTGTCTATCTACTATTCAGTGTTTTCAATGCGCAAGGCGCAATGCGGGACACAAAGTCAGTTTACGCGTACATGCGCAAAGCGCAATGCGATGTGCGCACCCGAGCGAAGCGAGGCGCACTCTAGACCACAAAATTTTTGAAGATATACAACTATACAAAATTTTTCCTTCTTTACAGGTTATAAATGGCGAATCAAGTTTCAACTTTCAAGTCAACTAATAGCAGTGTAGCACTACACCGAGCTCAAATAGCAAGAATCAATACTCGCAGTCTCGCACAGGAAATCAAATAGTATCACATTTTCAACAGTTATGATTGATATCATGATATGTATTAATAAGAAACAAGCAATTAGTCAGTAAATCTCTTTGTAAGTTAGGTAGCATTTCTACAGTCAAACAATCAATTGATTAACCCATCTTAAGTATAAGACGGTAAGACCAAAACGTAAAATTACTAATTCTTTTCTTAGTTCCATAAATGATGTCTAATTCCTCAAGATAAACATTTCATACGAGCCCTGAGGCCCCTCAATAACATGACAACAATATATTATAATATATTATGTAGTTATAATGCATATGACAAAATTATCTATCAATTCACATGAACAGAACTATCTTCAGAAGATGAAAAATAAAATAAAAAACAGAGAAACGAGCAGATAACCGAAGAAGAAAAAAAAAGATAAAAAATGAGCAGAGAAACGAGCAGATAAAGAAAAAAAAGTAAAAAACGAAGATGAAAAAGATAAACGAAGAAAAATATAAAAGGAAAAAAGGGGAGAGAGAAACGAGCAAATAAAGAAAAGAAAAAAAAAACGAGGAAAAAGAAGAGAGAATCGGGAAGACAGAACACGAACCAAAAGAAGAGAGAAAAGAAAAACAACACCAGTAGAGAAAGAAAAAAATGGCAAAATACAT